CCCACCCCCTTCTTCTTCTCCATCCCTTTCCCCTTCCCTTTCCCCACCCCCCTTCTTCTTCTCCATCCCTTTCCCCTTCCCTTTCCCCACCCCCCGTCTTCTTCTCCATCCCTTTCCCCTTCCCTTTCCCCACCCCCCTTCTTCTCCATCCCTTTCCCCTTCCCTTTCCCCACCCCCCTTCTTCTTCTCCATCCCTTTCCCCTCCCCTTTCCCCACCCCCCTTCTTCTTCTCCATCCCTTTCCCCTTCCCTTTCCTTGTGCTGTTCCCCTTGCTCTCCTGCCCCCCTGCCTCAGGTAACCCGGTTACCACTCTGGCTCGGAAATTCAAGCTCAAGATTGCGCAGCAGAACGGGCGGGAGATACAGTTCACAGCCAAGGGGAGGAGGTACGGGGACGCGGAGTGGGCAGCAGCGGAGGCAGAATATCAGACGTTGGTGCGGCAAGCCTTGTCCTGGGCGAACAAGCAGGACAAGGATGTGAGCCTGCAGCAGGCGTTCACCAGCGGGCCTTGGAAGCGAAAAATGTTCTCCAAGCCTTATGCTCAGGTAATGTGGTGGGGGGGAGGATTAGAGCTTTTGGGAGGGGAGGAGGGAAAGTGGGAAGAGGGGGGGAGAGGAAGGGGAAGGGGGAAGGGGGAAGGGCAGGGGAAAGGGGGGGGGTAATGGGAGAGGGAAGGGTTGGGAGCAGGAAAGAGAGTGACCCAAAGAATGGTGGTGCGTGCGGCACACTCTCGCACCTGTTTCACATCTCACTCATATCGCCCCTTATGTTCCCTGTCACTCCCTCCCCACTCCCTCCTTAGTCCCTCCCCAGTCCCTCCTTAGTCCCTCCCCAGTCCCTCCTTAGTCCCTCCCCAGTCCCTCCTTAGTCCCTCCCCAGTCCCTCCTTAGTCCCTCCCCAGTCCCTCCTTAGTCCCTCCCCAGTCTCGGCCAGTCTTGGCTTGGCTGTGGTCTTTCCGCCTGTTTCACTTCACCCCGCTCCCTCCACGCTGCGCTCAGCACCGCAGTCCCGCCTGGCAGTGGACTACGAGTTCAACTTCGGCACGGCACTCTCACACCTCTCTCACACCCCCCTGTGCTTGCCTTTTCTCAACCCTTGTCTCATATCGCCCCTCGTGTTTCCCTGTCCCTCTGTCCCTCTCTGTCCCTCTCTGTCCCTCTCTGTCCCTCTCTATCCCTCTCTGTCCCTCTCTGTCCCTCTCTGTCCCTCTCTGTCCCTCTCTATCCCTCTCTGTCCCTCTCTGTCCCTCTCTGTCCCTCTCTGTCCCTCTCTATCCCTCTCTGTCCCTCTCTGTCCCTCTCTATCCCTCTCTGTCCATCTCTATCCCTCTCTGTCCCTCTCTGTCCCTCTCTGTCCCTCCCCAGTCCCGCCTGGCAGTGGACTACGAGTTCAACTTCGGCACGGCCCTTTCACACCTATCCGCATGGTACTACGAGTCCAAGGCCTTCGACCCGCCCACCATGGTGGTTACCAACGGCTACGACAACATCCCCAAGATGCTCATGCAGGTGAGGGAGGGGGAAGGGGGAGGGTAGGAGGGGAAGGGGAGAGAGGGGGGGAAGGGGGGAAGAGGGAGAGCTTGTGTGGAGCACCGTTTCACCTTCACAAGCTGCTCACCCAAGGTCGTCACCAACGCACTCGTCTCCCGTACCCCACGCACTCGTCTCTTGTGCCCCTCCCATGCCCCACCCCACCCACCCGTCTCCCATGCCTTGATGTGGCACTTGTCTCGCACACAACCCATTTGCCGGCCACATTTCCGTTTCCTCACTCCGACTCTTATCACCACTCCACTCTCATGCCCCCATACCCCACTTCCCCTCCCCCACCCATCCACTCACCACAGGAAGCGCAACGAAAAGGAGCCAAGCTCCTGCTCAACTTCGAAGTGACGGCCATCTCACAGTCCTCCAAAGGCGTGCAGATCACGGGAAAGAACACAAGTAGCAGAAGCAGAGCTTTTTCGTATTCCTGATTCCTCATTTTGTTTTCCTCCCTTGCCAACCCATCACAGGAAGCGCAAGGAAGGGGAGCAAAGCTGGTCCTCAACTTCGAGGTGACGGCCATCTCGCAGTCCTCCACGGGCGTGCAGATCACGGGAAAGAACACCGCCAGCGGCGCCACTTCCACGCTTTCAGCCGACGTGGTAATCGTCACCATCCCTCTCGGGGTGCTCAAGGCCAACACCATTGCCTTCACCCCGTCACTCCCACCCCGTAAAACCGGTGCAATCTCTCGCCTGGGCGTGGGCGCCATCGCCAAGATCTTCTTCTTTTTCAACCAAACCTTCTGGCCGGTCAACGTGGACGAATATTTCATCGAGGATGCTCAGCTGCCCGCGAATCGCGGGCGGTGGGTTGACTGGGTGAACCTGAAGCGGGCGTGGGGGCAGACTGCATTGGAAGGCGTGGCCCTGGGGGAGTATGCGGAGCGAATGGCTAAGATGAGCGATGAGGAGGTAATCAACGACGCCAAGGCAAAAATGGCCCACATGTTCCCGCAGTACCGCAAGAAACCGCTTGAGCCACTGGCGACTTGGATTCAGCGGTGGACTGCCGAACCATATTCGAGTGGCGCGTATAGCTATGCGCGCGTGGGCGTGCGGGGAAATGAGGATCACTGCACGGACTATGATGTGATGGCGCTGCCCGAGGGGAGGGTGCTGTTTGCGGGGGAGCACACCATCTGGCAGTACCAGGCCACCGTTCATGGCGCCCTGCTCTCCGGCGTCCGAGAGGCGAGGCGCGTCCTTAGAAACTTCTGAGGGACATGCCGCATGATGTTATCCCTCCCTTACGGAGTGAGAGGGAGGCCGTGACCTCAACTTGTCATTCCTGATCCCTCCTGAAACCCTGAGTTCCCTTCGAAGTTTGAGTTTGAGCTCCCTTTTGAAGAGGTGGTTGACAAGGGAAGGATGTGGCACATGGCTTGCCTTGATTAGTTACAGTGGCAACTAGAACATCATGGAATGGAATGGAGTATTCATCTTGTCTGTTGCCCAGTCAATCTCGTGTGCACTTGTGTGTTCTAAACTTATACTGTAGTACTTCACAATTGTTTTTTCTCAAGTTATTGTTTTGAATGTTGTAGGTGTAAGTGTTACATGAATAATTCATTCTTCTTGTATTGTAATATTTTGAGATAGCAGCAATCCTGTAGCAAGGAAAAATGGCAATTGACTAGGGCGACTGATCTCCTGCCAGCTAGATGGCTCATTACACGTTTCAAATCTGCACGATACATCCTCGATAATCTCCTTAGGTAAGCTCTGAGCGGCCTTCGCGTCACATTTTTCGACGATTCGACCCCTCGAATTTCTGCTGGTTGTGTCTGCGGAATCGCAGGCAGGCTGCAACGCGTCAGCCGCGTCGAGCTCAGAAATTGTCGCCGCTGCGTGTCGCGTCCCCCCTTCACGTTCTCCCCCCTTCGCATCCTCCATCGCGCCGCCACTCGTCCCGTTCCCCCAATCCCGTTCCCCCCATCCCGCTCCCCCATCCCGCTCCCCCCATCCCGTTCCCGCCATGCCGTTCCCCTATCCCGTTTCCCGCCGTCACGGTTCCCCTCCCGTTCCCCGCGTCACGCGAACCCCGGCGCCTGGCTGCAGCCAGCTCCGCTCGCGCAGCTAGCGGTTTTTTTTGGCGCATCTTAAACTCGAACCCACTTGGTGCTTATTCAATCGACTCAAAACCCAGTTGGTCCAACTAGCTCCTCTCTCTCTGCGAGCGGGACATGCGGAGAGCTTTTTGAGACGCCTGTAGCGCCAGTTCTTCAGGGGCTGTTAGCGGGAGCACGTATGCTTCTCTGTGATTCCACGACATCAGTCCGTATTGATAGTGACAGCCGTTGCTCAAAATTAAATATAAAGCCGTTACGTGTGCCGCCTTAGCTTCGCTCCCGTGTCAATTCCTTTTGAGGCGCCTCAGAAATAACTTCACTGTCCGTGTTGATAGTGACAGTCAGCTGCAGAGTAAAATAAAGCCGTTACATGCCTCCCCATTTACTCGCCTCCCGCTCCTACCCACCCCCTCGACCTCCCCCGCGCATTCTTCTGACTCCCTCCACTCAACCCAGCCCCCTCCCGCCCTTCTCCCCCTTCTCCCCCTGCCCCCCTGCTCCGCGCATCCTGTTCCATCCGCCAGGAGGCCATTCCGAGTGCCACCCACGTGGCCTGCTGGAATCTTGGACCTAGGCTGCTGCGAACACCTTGAGATCCGTTAAGGTGAGACGGTACGGTAGTAGGTGAATCTGTCTTCTTCCGAGTCAATTACTAGAATACTCAAAAACGACTCCAGCCTATCTTTGAGGCGCATCAAAAGTAGGTGGACAAGAGGTAAGCTGCTCCCCGCACTGGCACAACACCTGCCTGCCAGATGATGTCTCTTTCGAGTTTTGAAAATTCTCAATATTGACTCCCATAGAAATGGTAGCAGCTGAACCAGAGGTAAGCTGCTTCTGGCACCACGCCTGCCTGCCTGTTGTAGTCGCTTTGACTTCCTTCACTTGTGCTCTATTTCGTTGGGCCAGACCTTCGTTTGCCTCCCGATGCTCCACCCTTCCCCTTTGACCAAAGCAGATAGGACGAAGAGTTGTTGCAGCAGCAGAAGCAGCAGCAGCAGCAGCAGCAGCAGCAGCAGTTCCAGGCGGCTCAAGAGATGAAGGCCGGTAGCCATGTGCATGGAGGCATTTCGTCTGCCTGCATTCATACCACAGTGCATCCGTTCCTTGTCCCCATGCTCGTCCAATCACTGCCAGATAGACGAGGAGCTGTTGCTGCTGAAGCAGCAGTTCCAGGCGGCCCAAGAGGTGAAATGAAGGCCGCTGGACTGCTTGCACTCAATCCTCATTGCCTCCCGTTCCTCGCCCCAAACGTTGCTTTGAGCGAAGCAGATGGACGAGGAGTTGTTGCTGTTGCAGCAGCAGTTCCAGTCCAGGCGGCGTAGGAGGTGAAGGCGGCCACGCGACTGTCGGAGAGGAATGTGGTGGAGCTCGTGTCCAAGCTCACCGCCATGAAACTGCTGCTGCTGCTGCTGCTGCTGCACAAGCCGTCCCCAGCCTCCCAGCAAAGTGAACCTTAACGCCTTTTGCTCTTTGCTGCTTGATCCCCTCCCTCCCCCACGCCCCCTCCACCCGCCCTTCCCTTCCCCCCCTGGTCAACAGATGGACGAGGAGCTCTTGCTGCTGCAGCAGCAGTTCCAGGCGGCCCAGGAGGTGAAAGCAGCGACCAGGCTGTCGGAGAGGAATGTGGTGGAGCTGGTGTCGAAGCTCACTGCTATGGGGCTGCTGGGAGAGGATCTACTATACTCGCTCAACGGCAAAGAGTACATCACTCAGGTACACACAGTAACCTTCCATAGACCTTTGTGTTGACCAGGCTGTCGGAGAGGAATGTGGTGGAGCTGCTGTCCAATCTCACCGCCATGGGGTTGCTGGGGGACGACCTGCTCTACTCGCTCAAGGGGAAAGAATACATCACGCAGGTACAGTGGTTGTACTATGAACAAATTTATACATGTAAATGTATATATGTGTTTATATATTATATGTTGCCTTGCACCAAGCTCTTTTTTTCATTCAGATTTTTTTCCCTCTTTCCCCACTCGTTCTTATTCTCTCAGGAGCGACTGCAGCAGGAGGTGGAGGAGGAGGTGAGGCGACGTGGCAGAGTGTCATTGGTGGACCTGGGCACGCTGCTGAACGTGGATCTCTTCTACTGTGAACGGGCGGCAAAGTGCATTCTGGAAACTGCCAAGGCACAGGAGCAGCCGTGGGTATGTATCTACTTTGTATCTTCTGCAACCGTTACAGTCACACGGTGCTCACAATCACATTCCTCATCCTCACCACCACATTGTTGGTGGACCTGGGAACGGATCTGTTCTACTGTGAACGGGCGGCGAAGAGCATTCTGGAGAATGCGGATACTTCAGACCCAGAATGCTCTCCCGCCTCTCCCTCTCCAGTTGTGTATGTAGGATGCTCCATGCTATTTCCTACAAGACGCAGGAGCAGCCGTGGGTATGTGTTTACTGTCCTGTGCTGGTTTGTGTTTCCACCACGTACAGTCACAATCCTCACAATCACAGCCTCATTCGTTATCATCACGCCACCAGCCCATGCAATTGGTAGGCATGGGTTGGTGGTGGGAACGCTGCTGAAAGTGGGTGTATCTGTAACTGTTGTGAACAGGGGACAATTGACACGCTACAGGTGCAGCTGGTGCAGTGCAGGGCGAGCTGATCACTTGCGACTACTGGGAGGGACGGGGTGGCAGACCTGGCCTTCAATGACCCGCTTGCCCTATACCTCCATTTCCCATGTGCTCGTACCACCATCAACAGGTGCAGCTGGTGCAGGGCGAGCTGATCACGCATGACTACTGGGACGGGGTTTCAGATGAGGTGGATGCAGCTTGCAGCTGTAACCGGCCACACACTCACGGATACACCACACCACATACAGCCTTTCATCACATCGTTCCCTCCCTTGCTAAGCAGGTGCAACTGGTGCAGGGCGAGCTGATCACACACGACTACTGGGAGGGACGGGGTGGCGTGGCAGATGAGGTGGGCCTTTGACCCCAGTTGACCACCTTTGACTTCCCCCTGCCATCAACAGGTACAGCTGGTGCAGGGCGAGCTGATCACACATGACTACTGGGACGGAGTGGCAGACGAGGTGGATGCCGCCCTGCAGGAGAGCGGACAGGTGGCGGTCTCTGATTTGGCGATGCGCTTCAACGTCGGTGCGGAGCTTATGGCCTCGATTCTCTCGTCGCGCCTGGGATCGCGGGTGGGTGCGATTTAGGGTTCAAGGGGTGTGGGGTTTACTGCAGGGTCTCAATTTATTTCAGGTTCTGGGTTAATTGCAAAATTATGGGTTTGTTGCAGGGTTCTGGGTTTTGCGTGTCTGTGCCTGTGCTTCAATGTGGGCGCGGAGCTCATGGCCTCCGTTCTATCATCGTCCCTGGAATCACGGGTGGGTACTCTTCCGTTTGAGGGTTTGGGGGTGAGGGGCTTACTGCAGGGTTCTGGGTTTTGCGTGTCTGTGCCTGTGCTTCAATGTGGGCGCGGAGCTCATGGCCTCCGTTCTATCATCGTGCCTGGAATCACGGGTGGGTACTCTTCCGTTTGAGGGTTTGGGGGTGAGGGGCTTACTGCAGGGTTCTGGGTTTTGCGTGTCTGTGCCTGTGCTTCAATGTGGGCGCGGAGCTCATGGCCTCCGTTCTATCATCGTGCCTGGAATCACGGGTGGGTACTCTTCCGTTTGAGGGTTTGGGGGTGAGGGGCTTACTGCAGGGTTCTGGGTTTTGCGTGTCTGTCTGTTCCTGCGGTTCAACGTGGTCGCAGAGCTCATGGTTTTCTCATCGCTCGTGGGATTGCGGGTGGGTGCTGTTTGGTGTTTGAGGGATGTGTAGTTTATTGCAGGGTTCTGGGTTTTTTTAGGATTCTGGGTTTATTGCAGGGTTCTGGGTATATTGCAGGATTCTGGGTTATTTGCAGGACTCTGTTTGCTTTTCTGTCTGTCTGTGCTTCAACGTCGCCGCGGAGCTCATGGCCTCCATTCTCTCAGCGCGCCTGGGATTGAGCGTGGGTTCTGTCTAGGGTTTGAATCTTAACTTTACGCAGGAGAAGTGCAATGGGAGGAGCTGTGGTAGTGGCTGCAAGCTTTACCAAGGCTTCAATTCAATCCCATACCTTCATTGCTGCAATTCATGATTGAAAACGATCCACGGCAAATTTCGTGATATCTCATTGAAATCTCATTGCCAGGGGCGCCACGAGTGGTGGTAAACTCTTTCCAAGGTCTCCCATGCCTTCGGACGCACCCGTACCATACTCGTCGCAGGCCCCCATTACCTGTCAATGAGAGGAGAACCTATTATATCAGGCTCCTCTCCAAGGCTCTTCAGATATAAAACCCCAACTCTCTTTCCCTTCTTTGCTGCAGATCCATGGTACCTATCATGTTACATGGCCCCGGTGGGAGCCTGGTAATCGAGAGAAGAACCTGTACCTCCTTCTAAGGCCTCACAAATAACCCTAATTCTCTCCCCCTCCCCCCCGCCCCCCCCTTATCGTTTCCAGATCCACGGCACCATGAGCGGCGGGCAGCTCTTCACAGGCGCGCACATGGCTCGCATGCGCGCTGCTGTGAGAGGCGCAGCCCGGGCTCTTACCGAGGCAGCTAATATGGCGGATATTTGGCCTTCTGTGGCCCGGGAGCTGGGGAGGGATTATGGGAGGGAGTATGGGGATGGGACGGAGGTGAGGCGGGCAGCAGGGGATGCTGCTGCTGCGGCTGGTAATGGTGGAGATATTGGTGATGGTGGCGCTGATGCTGCTGCTGCTGCTGCTGCTGCTGCTGCTGCTGCTGCTGCTGGCAGTGGGAAAGCAGAGGCAGCAGGAGTTGGCGGCAAGGAAGAAGCCACAGGGGGGGCTGAAGCAGGAGGGGCAGCGGCAGGGGGGCGCAGGGGGGGGAGGGGGCAGGGGGGGGAGGGGGAGGGGGAGGGGAGGGGGTAAGGCGGAGGCGGTAGGGGCAGCAGAGGCGGCGCTGTTTGCGCGGGTGTTTGGGGAGTGTGTGGCGGAGGGGGAGGTGCGGGGGAGCAGCAAGGGCGGGGGCACGGGGTGGGTGCCGGAGATATTCGCCCAGCTGCAGAGACAGAGTGTAGAAGCCTTCTTCTCGCAGGTGAGCCTCTGTTTCCCCACAAGAGCTCCACTCCACACTTGCCCACTCCACACTTGCCCACTCCTCACACCATTCCTCGTGCTTCCGTGCCATCTCCTCCCCTGCTCCCCTGCTCCCCTGCTCCCTTGCTCCCCTCCGCCCTTCTTCAGAACGCCTTCATAACCTTCTCTGCAGTGCGGCAGCGGGCATCCCCCAGCCGCGGCACTACCTGGACTCTCTCTTCATCATTCCCTTTCTCTCCTCTTCCCCCGTTCCTCCCTTCCCATCCTTCCTCACACTCCTTCACACCTCAGAACGCCTTCATAACCTTCTCTGCAGTGCGGCAGCTGGGCATCTACCAGCCTAAGCAGTACCTGGATTCTCTCTTTCCCAACAAGAGCAGCGCGCTGCTGCTGGACTCGACACTTGCCCACCCACTTCTCACTCACAACATTTCCATGCCATCTCCACCCCTCCACACACCTCTCCACCCCACAGAACGCCTTCATAACATTCTCTGCAGTGCGGCAGCTTGGCATCCCCCAGCCCAGGCAGTACCTGGAGTCTCTCTTTCCCGACAAGAGCAGCGCGCTGCTGCTGGACTCGACACTTGTCCACTCCTCATTGGTGCATCAGCTGGACGCTGCTGTGGAGGAGGCGATTGCAGCCAAGTCATGGTGCGTGTGCTGATGGCATGGGGATTGCCGTTTTGGTCTGTGAGAGGGGACAGATCGCTGCTGCTGCACTCGACACTTGTCCACTCCTCATTGGTGCATCAGCTGGCGACCGCAGCCAAGTCATGGTGGTTTTGTTTGTGGTGTGGGAAGGTGGCTGTCTGTGTGTGTTGGTGTCATGGGAATTGCAGCAGTGAGGATAGAGAGGAGGGATCACTCATCGCTGCAGCAGCTGGCTGGATGCTGCTGTGACCGTGACGTGCCAGAGGCGATTGCAGCCAAGTCACAGAAGAGCATGTTTTGACCCCCAACAGACCAAGCTCATTTAGTTGTAGGTGCCTAGGCTAGGTAGGGATCAAGTAAACAATGAATTATTGTTCCCAACTGAGCGTATGCACTTCAGCACGGTGGCTTTCTCATTGGTGCAGCAGTTGGCTGAATGCTGCCAAGTAATGGTGAAGTAATGAATGCTGCCGAGGCGGTTGCAGCCAAGTCAAGTCATGGTGTGGCAGTTGGTGGTGTGGTGTGGGAAGAAGTGTGTGCAACCGCTGGTGTGAAGTACTGCTGCTGTGAAGTACTGCATTTGCGTTCGTTAACCACGTGCCTTCCTCCCTCACCACTTCCTTCTTAAAAAACACTTTTGAGAATGAGATTTTCGCAAAGCTGGTGCGCAGTAATGAACCTTCTTGCATTCGCTGACGTGCCGTCCTCCCCCACCAACCAACCACCTCCTTCACGCCTCTCTCTTGCACTGCTTTGCCCACCCTCTTCAGCTGCAAGGAGCGTTTTCTGCATCGTTCCCTCTTCTAGAGCTTGAGGCGTCTTAAAACAATAAAAACACTCCCCTCCGTTGTCACCCCTCCCCTCCGTTGTCACCCCTCCCCTCCGTTGTCACCCCTCCCCTCCGTTGTCACCCCTCCCCTCCGTTGTCACCCCTCCCGTCCGTTGTCACCCCTCCCGTCCGTTGTCACCCCTCCCCTCCGTTGTCACCCCTCCCCTCCGTTGTCACCCCTCCCGTCCGTTGTCACCCCTCCCCTCCCTGCTCCCTCCAGGTGCGATGCAGTAACAGCCTTCCCTCCAATGCTCTCTCCCTCCGACTGGGCTCAACTGCTGCTGCTCTGCCCCTAATATGCCCAACCCCTCCCCTTCACGCCCCCTTCTTGCCCTCCAGGTGCGATGCAGCAACATCTCTCCCCCCAGCGCTCCACCCCTCTGACTGCGCTCAACTGCTTCAACTCTGCCCCGTGCTGCTCAGAGCACAGAAAGCTGCCGCCCTTTCTGTTGCCAGTGGTGCTGGAAGCGGTGCTGCTGCTGCTACTGCAGAGGGGTTGGATGGGGCGGAAGTGTATGGGGATACCTGTGTCGTCTCGTCCGCTCTCTTGCAGGTATGCATGTGTATGAGTGCTGTGCATGCTGTGATCCGTGCTGGTCGGAGAACGGAGAGCCGTTGTCCTTGCAGCTACCAGTGCTGCTGGAAATGGTGCCGGTGTTGGTTCTTTTAGAATTTGCAAAGGGCGCCTTCTGTTGCTGCTTCCAGCAGTGTTGGTGGTAATGCTGCTGCTGCAGAGGGGCAGGGGTTGGATGGGGTGGAGTCGTCTCGTCTGCACTCCAGCAGGTATGCATGCGCATGTGTGCATGTGTATGTGTGCATGTGTGCATGTGTGCATGTGTGTGTGCATGTGTGTGTGTGCATGGTGCGTGCCTGCCTGTGTGAGTGCGTGCGTGCATACGATGGAGATGCGTGCAGAGTGTGTTATGTATTTCTATAATGCCGCCCGCACAGTTGCACGTCCCATCCCCCTTGCAGACCGATCACACCTGCACATCCCCCAACCCTTTCCTTCTTGCGATGCGACCAATGCTCCCTCCCTCTTCGCCCTCTCTCCACCCTCGGTTTCTCTGCAGTCCATTCACCAGCGCTTGCAGTCCGTTTTACACTAGAGAGCAGTGGCTGCAGCAGCGGCAGTAGCAGTCTTTTGTGAATATGAGTCGAATCAAATGTCTTCCCCTTCCCTGCCATTGTTGTGTCGCTGCAGTCCATTCACCAGCGCCTGCAGTCCGTTTTACACGATAGAGCAGTGGCAGCAGCAGCAGCAGCGAGAGCATCCACTAGAAGTGCGGCAGCAGGGGGTGGGGGAGGAGGGCAAGAGAAAGGCGGAGGGAAGGAAGGAGAGGATAAGGAGGAGAAGAAAGGGAGAGGAGGGGGAAAGGGAGGAGGAAAGAGGGGTGGGGGAAGGGAGATAGAGGAGGAGGAGGAAGAGGAGGAAACAGGAGGTAGAGGAGGGAAAGGGAAGAAAAAGGGAGGAGGGGGGAAGGGAGGGAAGGGGAAAGGTGGAGGAGGGGGGCGAGGAGGGAAGGGGAGGGAGGAGGACGAGGTGGAGGGGGAGAGGGGAGGGACGGAAAAGAAAGGCAGAAAGGACGAGGCAATGCCGACGGTGGCTGAGATGACACGATTGGTGCTGACGTGGCATCCTGACCTGCTGGAAGCAACTGTTGCTGGTATGCTCGTTACTAGGTGCCTCATCACTGTCTCATGTGTGCGCTGTTAGAAGGGTGTCTGTATACATTTGGTTTGCTTTTCCTCTGAACCTGTTTCAGATAGACTCTTTTTCAGTGCTTCAGTGAAGTCGTCAACACCACTGTTTCATCCATCCCATCTCATCGCATCACACATCTGAGGTGCTTCTTTCCATCCCATCCCCACTAGATGATGATGCCGCTGATTCCGATGGGGATGATGCTGAGGGAGGGGGTTCGGCCGGCCTTGCTCGTCTGTTAGTGGCCGCCCTGAAGCCTGCCCTATCTGCTTATTGGGCGGAGGAGCGGCGCCGAGCCGCAGCCTTCACGTCCGGGAGCACCACCGAGACTCGGCGACAGGTTCGGACAAGCCACCGTAAATTGATTTAGTTAATTATTTCTTGAGTAGTATAAGCTTTATACTAATCAACGAGCCCTGCTCCACTGTTCGTAACAAAGGTGCATTTATAATTAGTTCGATATACTTGAAACATGTTACAGATTTTTGTCTGTGTGCCCAAATTATTTTGTAACATAGAGTCCTGCTTAACCATGTGTGTGTGTGTGTGCGCATGTGGCTGGCAGGTGCGAGAGGCAGTGGAGTCTCGAGTGAATGCCATGCTGGGGCAGCTGGTGCTGTATGCCGATGGGGCAACCGCTTTCGACTCAGATGAGGATGCAGCCACAGTTTCAGCTCTCGGAAAGTTTTGTCTAACAAGTGTGTGTGCGTGTGGCAGGTGCGGGAGGCAGTGGAGTCGCGAGTCAACGCCACGCTGGGCCAGCTGGTGCTGTATGCACATGGGGCAGCGGCTTTCAACTCGGATGAGGATGCAGCCACTGCGGTGAGTGCTTTCCCTTTTGCGCCGCAGAAAGAGTCGCGAGTGAATGGCATGCTGGGGCAGCTGGTGCTGTATGCACACGGGGCAGCAGCTTTCGATCCGGACGAAGATGCCGCCACTGCAGTGTGAGTGCCGGTAGAAGCAAGTCAAAAGGTTAGCTGCGCTGCCTGTGCACATATCTACAATTCCCACTAAGCAGCAGTGTTTGGAAGCAGTGGTGTTTCACGTCTGGATGAAGTCATGGCAGCTGCTGTGAGTGTGCGGGTAGAACCATCTCTTGGCTTGGCTGCCTGTGACTCGGCTGTGCTCCTACTGTATATATCCGCTCGGACCAATGGCTTTCAACTCAGACGAGATGTGGCCACTGCTTTTCTGTGGGGCCATGCTGGTAAAAGCAACTGCTGCTCCCAGTAACTTTTCAACCCGCTTTCATCAGGGCCTCCCTCTCTTCCTTAACCCTCTCTCTCCCCCTACCCCTTACACCAGGCCCTCATTTCTCAGGCCCTCATTTCTCTTGAGGCGCCTCAAAAGCCCTACCCCTTACACCAGGCCCTCATTTCTCGCCATGTCTCCGAACCTTGGCTTCCAACACGAGCTCCTCTATGAGCCCTCTCTTTCGCCCTTTGTCTCCTACTGCTTTCCGCCACCTCGCCCTTTCCCCCATCCACCAGACCCTCATCTCCCGGCACGTTCTCCGAACCTCGGCTTCCGAGCCTGTCGATCTGCTTCTGCACGCTGTGCTTCTGGACCATGACGTCATCACTGCCCAGGATGACGTCAGCAGCAGCAACGAAAGCGAGAAGCAGAGTGGAGAGCTGCAAGAGGGCACTGGAGCAGGAGTGAGTGGGGGAGGAGGAGCCAATGGAGCAGGAGTGATGGGGCGAGAAGAGCAAGGTGGACAAAAACAGAGGGATAACGGAGCAGCAGGAGCAGCATCAGTGCTCGGGTCAACCCCAATCGTCTACACGCCAGCAAGGAGAGCAGCTTTAGCAAAGCTGCTCCCAGCAGGAGGGCCGAGGGAGCGGGCTGTGCGGATGATTGGAGCGCTGGAGGGCAGGGAGATGGAGGCGGTGCCGCTGCCCATGGAGGAAGTTGCCGAGAAGGATCTCGGCATCCGGCTCAAGCGCCCCGATAAGAAGGCTGAGCGGGCGCTGCTCTTCTCAATGAAGAAGGTGAGGACTGCGCTTCCAAGGCTGAGCGTTTGGACGATGCTAGAGCAAATGCCGTGCCAGCTCACGCTGGCTTTGTGTTTTGGTTGCTGTTGAACCCAGCTCTTGCTTCGCCCTCCCTTCCTCGCCAACAGAGCCTTCAGCTACAGCTCGAGGCGGAGGAGGATGCTGTTAAGACCGTGCCAGCTCGAGCTTGAACTCTTTGCTTAAGTTGTTACCAAGCTCTCGTCTCTTCACTCTTCACCTCCTTTCACCCGCCAACAGAGCCTTCAGCTACAGCTCGAGGCAGAGGAGGACGCTGTGGCAGCACTCCCCCTCATTGTGGCTCTTCTCTTCATGCAGGTGCTCCCCTCTCCCTTCCTCGCTTTCTCCCTGCCCTTTCTCCCTGCCCTTTCTCCCTGCCCTTTCTCCCTGCCCTTTCTCCCTGCCCTTTCTCCCTGCCCTTTCTCCCTGCCCTTTCTCCCTGCCCTTTCTCCCTGCCCTTTCTCCCTGCCCTTTCTCCCTGCCCTTTCTCCCTGCCCTTTCTCCCTGCCCTTTCTCCCTGCCCTTTCTCCCTGCCCTTTCTCCCTGCCCTTTCTCCCTGCCCTTTCTCCCTGCCCTTTCTCCCTGCCCTTTCTCCCTGCCCTTTCTCCCTGCCCTGTCTCCCTGCCCTGTCTCCCTGCCCTGTCTCCCTGCCCTGTCTCCCTGCCCTGTCTCCCTGCCCTGTCTCCCTGCCCTGTCTCCCTGCCCTGTCTCCCTGCCCTGTCTCCCTGCCCTGTCTCCCTGCCCTGTCTCCCTGCCCTGTCTCCCTGCCCTGTCTCCCTGCCCTGTCTCCCTGCCCTGTCTCCCTGCCCTGTCTCCCTGCCCTGTCTCCCTGCCCTGTCTCCCTGCCCTGTCTCCCTGCCCTGTCTCCCTGCCCTGTCTCCCTGCCCTGTCTCCCTGCCCTGTCTCCCTGCCCTGTCTCCCTGCCCTGTCTCCCTGCCCTGTCTCCCTGCCCTTTCTCCCTGCCCTTTCTCCCTGCCCTTTCTCCCTGCCCTTTCTCCCTGCCCTTTCTCCCTGCCCTTTCTCCCTGCCCTTTCTCCCTGCCCTTTCTCCCTGCCCTTTCTCCCTGCCCTTTCTCCCTGCCCTTTCTCCCTGCCCTTTCTCCCTGCCCTTTCTCCCTGCCCTTTCTCCCTGCCCTTTCTCCCTGCCCTTTCTCCCTGCCCTTTCTCCCTGCCCTTTCTCCCTGCCCTTTCTCCCTGCCCTTTCTCCCTGCCCTTTCTCCCTGCCCTTTCTCCCTGCCCTTTCTCCCTGCCCTTTCTCCCTGCCCTTTCTCCCTGCCCTTTCTCCCTGCCCTTTCTCCCTGCCCTTTCTCCCTGCCCTTTCTCCCTGCCCTTTCTCCCTGCCCTTTCTCCCTGCCCTTTCTCCCTGCCCTTTCTCCCTGCCCTTTCTCCCTGCCCTTTCTCCCTGCCCTTTCTCCCTGCCCTTTCTCCCTGCCCTTTCTCCCTGCCCTTTCTCCCTGCCCTTTCTCCCTGCCCTTGTCAAAAATAGGCTTACAAGCGATGCATTAGTAATGAGCTTGAAGCTCTTTAAGTACATCCAAGAGGGGTAGGAAAAGGATGGGGAAGGGAATCGGGGGCAATCTCTAGGGATTGGGGGTAATCCCAAGGCAATCTCCAATTGGTGGGTTGGAGATTGGTTGGAGATTACATTTGGGTTTGGTTGGGATGTAGGTGTACACCCAACCAAACACAATGTGCAAACTACACTACTCTAGGATATAGAAAATACAAAGTACAAATTGTGAGATTGAAGACTAACACTAACACCCCCCCATAGGCGTCAATCGAACTCAGGGTAGAGAGGGTGGAGCACAGAGCCCCATGGCGCCAAGGAGACGGTGGTGGGGAACTTTCCCAAGGGGCTTGGTGAACAGATCAGCCAGGTTGCAGTCAGATGCAACGTATTCCACTTTCAACTGCTCTTGTTGGACAAGGTCACGGATGAAGAAGTGCCGGAGTTCAATGTGCTTGGTGCGGGTGTGATACACAGGGTCTTGAGAGATGTGGATGGTACTCTGGTTGTCACACCAGAGGGTAGGGGCGGACTGTGGGAAACCAAGTTCCTGGAGGAGGAAGGTGAGCCAACGAGCCTCCTGAGCAGCCATGGTGCCTGCGTAGAGCTCTGCCTCACATGAGGAGAGGGAGACTGCAGACGACCTGGTGGAGCGCCAACTGACAATTCCGCTCCCAAGGGTGAAGCAGTACCCCTGAGAGGAGCGTCGGTCGGTCTGGTCATCAGCCCAGGAGGAGTCGGTGTAACCCTCTAGGCGAGGAGGGGAGAGCCCACCGAGTGTGAGGACGTGAGACTTGGTGCCCTGAAGATAGCGCAACACCCGCTTGGCTGCCTTCCAGTGAAGGTCAGTGAAGCGTCCAGGGGCCACGTAGCGAGAGAGGACACTGACAGGATAGGCCAGGTCTGGCCGGGTGCACATCATGGCGTACATGAGGGACCCAACAAGCTCCGGGTATGGCTCAGAGCAGGCCTCTGGTGTGGGTACCGCTGGAGCTGTGAGGAGGTGTTGCAGCGGCAGCGGGGTGGCAACAGGTGTGCATAGCTCCATCTCAAATCGCTTGAGCACATTGTCGATGTAGAACTCCTGGGAGAGTGAGATGGTGCGAGCCTTGCGATCACGAGTGATCTCCATCCCCAGGTAGTGCTTGAGGTCACCGAGGTCTTTCATCTGGAGAGCCTTGCTTAGGGCTGCCTGGACTGAGGTCATCTGGGCCGAGTCCTTGGCCACGAGGATGAAATCATCCACGTAGACTAGGATGTAGAAGGGCTCAGAATGACGGCGGATGAAGAGAGTCGGGTCAGCAGTTGAAGGGTGGAAGTCCAGGGAGAGGAGGACTTCTTTCACCTTGTTGTGCCATTCGCGAGGGGCTTGCTTAAGGCCGTAGACGGGGCGATTCAGCTTCCAGACAGTGTTGGGAGGGAAATCTCCTGGGAAGCCTTCTGGTCTGTCCATGAACACTGTCTCCTTGAGACGTCCTTGTAGGAAGGCGGATGAGGCATCCATGGATTTGATCTCGAAGTCTTCTCGAGCTGCGACATCCATGAGCGTACGAATGCCAGTGATGTCGGGGAAGATGTGTGAGAGCTGAGGAAGGACTGCATGGAGATCACACAGTTCCTCATGCCTGTCTTCTAGAAGGGTAGAGGGCACATCCCCCCCAGCAGGAGGAGGCGGTGTGATCGCGGTGTATCGAAGAACCATCGCGAGTGGAAGAGTAGCGCGATGTGAGCGAGTGCCATGAGCCACCGGGGAAGAGGGTGGGGCTGGCGGGGTCGGAGAGGGTGACTTAGCAGGCTTGGGCGGGGGAAGGGGTCGCCGGCGGTACGTGATCAGCTCGGGCGACTGTGGGAGAGCGGGTTCCTCTGTGGTGGGGGGAGCCGGGGGAGGAGGTGGGGCCGGAGGGTGGGACCGCCGATGGTAGGTGATAGGTGCGCTCGGAGGGGGCGGCGCAGCGGGAAGTGGGGAAGGTGAGGGGGAGGGAGGAGCAGCTGCCGAAGACACCGGTGAGGCCGGGTCAGTGACCTCAGAGGGAGATGGTGCGATGGCAGGAGAGGGAGGAGGTGAGGGAGCAGGAGCAGGCGGGAGGTCGGGAGGCGCATCAAAGTCTGCCCACACGAGGGAGGGTGGATCAGGGAGAGGGTCCCGTCCCGAAGGGGAGTAGAATGGGCGGGTCTCATCAAAGACAACGTCACGGCTCCTGACCAACTGGTGAGTGGAGGGATTGAGGAAGAGGTAGTCAGGTGAGTCGGCGTTGTGCCCGAGGTAGATGCACGTCTGAGTCTTGGGACCGAGCTTGCCACCGTTATGCCGTCGAGCCTGAGGGTTGAGGAGGACATAGGCGGTGCATCCCCAAACGCGAAGAGAGCGAGCAGTGGGCGTTTTCCCGAGCCAGAGTGTGGTTGGAGTGGTGTCGGGAAGGTGCGGGTGGGGGTAAAGGTTGTAGAGGAGGGCAGCGTGGTAGAGAGCGTACCCCCAAAGAGAGTGAGGAGCGTTGGAGTGGCTGAGGAGGCACCGAGTGATCTGCACCAGGGTGTGGTTGCGGCTCTCAGCTATGCCGTTCTGTTGAGGGCTGTCAGGGAGGGTGAAGTTTTGCTGGATGCCTTAGTGTGGAGGAGGTGAACAGAGACATAGCGGGAGTGGTCATCCACAATGATAAGGAAGTAGCGATAGCCACCTCGTGCGAGAACAGGGGCAGGGCCCCAGACGTCCATGTGCACGAGGTCCAGTGGTGCTGCAGCGATTGTGGGTGAGGCAGCATGGGGCTGTTGGCGCAGTTTGCTCTTGGTGCAATCAAGGCACGTGGGAGCTGGTGAGTCAGGTGGTGGGGGAAGTGCGGCTGGCAGGCCGAGGAGAAGTTTCTTGGAGGCCATGTCAGCAAGAGTGCGGAAATTTGGGTGCCCGAGCCGATGGTGGTAGAGGATGGTCGGGTTGGAGAGGGTGCGACATGAGCATGGTGTGATAGTGGCCTGTGCTTGGGTGGTTGACACCTGTGGGAGAGGGACGCGTAGCGTGTAGAGGCCGTTGCTGTTGAGGGTGTAGCGGGCCAGAGTTTTGTTGGTGCGTGGATCGATGATGTCGCAATAGTCCTCGTTCTCTGGGAAGATGGTGCGTAGCCCTGCCTCCTGAATTTCTGTTTGGGCAACTAGATTGTGACGCAGTGAAGGCACGCACATGCCAGTGACAGTGCCGGATGGGAAGGCGGGGCATGGGACTGTGGAGGTACCCTTGGCGAGGGTGGTGAAGCTTGAGTCAGCTCCTAAGAGAGGGATAGGTGTTGGGTAAGGTTTGAAGGAGAGGGTCTCCTTGAGCACGGTGTGAGTGGCCCCGCTATCGAGTGTGAACTCTATGTATTGTGGTGCGTGTGATGAGCCGATGTACTGTGAGGTAGCTTCATTAATCATGGCAGTGCCAGGGAACAACAGGTTGATACGCACATCAGCAGGAGCAGCATCACTAGCACTAGTCGAAGCGGGGTCCTGGACCTCAACTAGGTTGGCCTTGCGAGAGCGCATCCAATTCGGCGGCTTCTTGTCCACTCCGTGAATGGCGTACCATTCGTCGTCTTTCTTCTTGAAGCACGTGGCGAGGGGGTGGTTAGTGCCACCACACACTTGTCCCTTGCGATTCCCATACTTGACGACGTAGGGGCACGGAGGAAAGCGGTTGCGCTGGAAGGGCGCCGAGGCGAGAGCCGCTGCGACACTTGCTTGAGGCATGGGAGCGCGGATAGCGTACGCCTTGGCCTGAGCCGTGGAGTCTTTCTCGGCAGAGAGGAGTGCGGTGGAGACCTTAGCAAAGGTGAGGTCCTCTGCTGAGAGTGTGAGGAGCATCTTCCTCGTGACCTCATATGCCGAGGTGAGTCCAACAAGTAGGGCGGCTGCAGGGGCTTGCTCGGGGAAGACTATACCCAGCTCCTTGAGTTCGCCATGAATGGTCTGCACCTTGGCAATGTAATCGGCCATTCCCGAGCAGTCCTCAAGGCGGACCTGAAACATGCTAGGGATGAGAATGGCCACGCCGACCGCCGTCTTGTTCATGAACCGATCCTGGAGGTACTTCCAGATGGCGTTGGAGGTAGGGTAGTTATGGAACGTGTTGACAAGTTCGGGAGGGGTGGAGGCGATGAAGACGCTGATGATGGCAGCATCGGCCTTCTCCCATTTCCGGTACTTCTCAACAGCCTCCTCGTACGCCCTCACGTCAGTATCACTTGGAGATTCGGTCGGCTCACGGGGAATAGTAGGCTGTTTCCCCTTGCCACGGTTGAGGAGGACGTCCTTGAGGTCAAGGCCCTGCACGTCACGGCTCAGGAGGTGCTTGTCAACTCCGTAGCTCCACGCCTTGAAGTTGGAGCTAGAGCCATCAGCTTCAAGGCGGAGCGGGGTGATGGGGTTCGCCATGGTGGAAGACGAGAGAGCCATGGTGGAGACCCCTTCTCGCGCGGAGCGCCGGTTCTAAGTCACCGATAGGAACTTCGAAATCCGACGGACCGGAATAGCGAAAATCGTCAATGTCGGCCGCGTCGGAATGTCACGTAGAAGGTTTTTTTTTCCTTTTTTCTTTTCAGGCCGCCAAAATTAGGTCGAATCGGCCGATTTCCGTAGATCTATCACTAATCCCACACATCCCCCCACACACCACCCTCGGCTTCGCGGCTACACGGCTGCTCTGCTTCGCGGCTACACGGCTGCTCGGCTGCGCTGCTGCACCTGTTCAGCTGCGGGAAGGGGGAAGGGGTAGGAGTGCAGATGCGGGGCGACGGGCGGCAGCCCGACGTGAAGCTGCGGGGCGACGGGCGGCGGCCCGACGAGAAGCTGCAGGGCGACGGGCGGCAGCCCGACGAGAAGCTGCGAGGCGACGGGCGGCGGCCCGACGTGAAGCTGCGAGGCGACGGGCGGCGGCCCGACGAGAAGCTGCAGGGCGACGGGCGGCGGCCCGACGAGAAGCTGCGGGGCGACGGGCGGCGGCCCGACGT